TTGAGTGGCCCCCGCGTCCTGGCGAACCAGGTCAGTGGCGCCAGCGCTCTGTCTCCTCCTCCTGTGAGCGCCGTCTCATCTGCCTTCTCTGCGTCCTCTGGCTGTAGCATGACCACCGCTTTGTGGCGTTTGCCATGGCCGGGCTACCTCCTCCTCGCAGCTGCTGTACATATCTACTGGATGCTTGCCTGTCCTGCGCTGGTAGCCTCCTCACGTCGTTCACGTCCATCCATCTGTCCGTGCGTTTCCCTTTGTTGGGGATGCCCTTCACCGCCGCGTCGAACTCTGAGCGTCCAACTTGGCGTCGGCCCCTCTGTTGCCCCCCTTCGTATCATGTTGATCACCTCCACCGCGTCATCATGCGTGCTGCTGTGCTTCCACATCTCCTCGACTTCCGTGGCCTGCAGGTCGATGCTCTCCATTGGGCTTGTCGCCTTTTTGCCTCCCTTGATGCACTCGTCTTCGTGCCCCCTCTTGGGCATGGTGATATCATGCAGCGCCCCTGGTGCGTTGATCTCCACGTTGGCCAGCCATAGCGCGTCGTCCCTCGCGCTTTCTCTCAGGTCATCTTGTAGGGAGATCTTCGCTTCAAGTTTGGCTTGTCTCACCATGCCCTCCAGCGCATCTTCATCTACCTTCTGAATCTGTTTGATGCGCTGTCCCCATATCTTCCCGTGGAGCCTCGCCGTCTTCGTGGCCGCTCGCCCTGCAGACGGCACTCCTTCCACTGCCAGCCTCCTGTAACAGCATCCTATTTGCTGCAGTTGTTGTTCACCCCGTCGCCTTCCCTTCAGCTTTGTGTAGGTGTCTAGCGCCGTTGCCAGCCTGCTCCACCAGTTAGTCTTACTGTTGCTGTAATGCACTCTCCTCTGGCCTGACTCTCTGACCTCCTTCTCCTGGAACTGGTACGCCTCGCCTCTTCCTTTGAACCGCTGCTGGTCTTCTGCCTGGATGCCACAGGCCTTGCAGCAGAAGCATTCCATCGTGGATACGAGGTGGTGGTTCTGGTCCCCTGGCCTGTTCGCCTCGTCTGTTGTGGCCTTGTGCGCCGCCGATGCGCTGATGTACTTCGGCGCCTCCAGCTGTTTCCTCGGGTGCCTCTTCTCGTACAGTGCCGTTTTTAATACATGCTCCGCGTGCGGATCATGTGTTAAACATGCAGGGATGTAGTATTCAAAACAACGATGAGTTCATGCATAAATCTATTCATAAATTAATCATGTATTCAAAATCCAATGTTTTTTAACATCCTATGTATTAAAAACTGCCCTGTAGTTCCTATCCCAGGTGTCGTTCATGGTGAGCGCGCCCACTCTGTCATTCATTCGTGGCCGGCGTGCTCGGCGCCGCCTCCTCTAGCTCGCTGCTGTTGGCCTCGACGTTGCCCCAGGGGCTGTAACCTCGCGCCCGACACCAGCCGCCTCTGTCCCAGAGTAGGGGAACAAACAGTGGCATAAACATACAAAAAACTCGGAGGTCCGCGCGGACTTCTCGGATCGGCGCTGGGCCCCCCTCCCTGGCGCGCGGAGCGCGCCAGGGGCGGCGCCGGAGGCGCCGCCCGGGGGGCCCCACACAGAGTTTTTATGTTTATGTCACTTTTTGTTCCCCTACAGAGGTATGGTTGCCTCCTTCGCACGGGGCGGCTGGAGGGCACCTCGCGGTGTTGGGCCACTGCTGGCTTGCCCTTGCGCGGTCCCCTGGTATCTCGCGGCCCTCAGGCTCGAGTTCAGGCGGGGGGCTGCTTCAACCGGGGCGATCCAATCCTCGAGCTCCTCCTCTATGATGTCTGCCTCGGAGTTGTCCACGTCATGGCATCGTTCTGCCATTCCGTCGCGTGCTGCCTCTGCCCCCTTGCCACGGGCCTACTTATCGCACTTCCCCTTGACGAGCATTCTCCATTCCCATGTCTGGCTACTTGCGCTTTTTCTCGGCGAGCTCTCCATTCTTGTAGTAGCTCGTCTGGAAGATCGCCGTCGGGGAGTAGTGGGTAAGACGTCCACCCAACAGGTGCCCGTGCCTCTCATCTGGCGCTTGCTGTTGCTTCTCCCCGTCGCTCTTGTGGTTCCTGAACTTGTACTGGCTGTAGTACCTGTTCTTGTCGGCCTTCTTGCTCTTGTTCTTTCAACCTCTTCCTTCGTTGTGCCTTGCTGTCTGGGCTGGGCCTCTTCCTCCTGTCGAGCTTTGTGTGGGAGAATGTGCGCGGCATCTTCAGCGCCCTGGTGGGGTTGTACTCGAGCTCCGCCTCGATCGTTAACTTCTGGCCGATGCGTGGCTTCCAACTGACGTCCGTTACTGCATCTAGGTTGATGATGTGCTTGCGCGCCTCTGCCAGCACGCAGTCGATGAGCGACGGCTCTGCCTCCGCTTTGTAGCGCGCGGGCGTCTCGCCAGGCAGCGTGTAGATGCGCGCGTCGCCCAAGAAGTCGCAGAAGCCCTCCGATGTAAATCTCGTCGGGTTGGCGTTGCAGTCCCCTGCGGCAATCCAGGGCGCGCGCAGGGTTTTTGTAAACTTTACTACTCAAGCCAGCCTTCTGGCGTTAGCTCCTTCCCTTAGCGGCTGGTCGCACCGCAGATATAGCGTGAACGGCACCAGACTGTACCTTTTCAGGTGCCACGTCATCGCCGTCCAATCCTCCACGTGGAATAACCCAAACGCTTCAACTTCTTCGTCTTGACGCTGTACACGGCTGCCGGCAGTAGCCCCCGATTGATTGCCATGCGCCGCATACTCTCGAAACAAATGTGGATTTGAAGTCTGACCTCGTAGCTACCATCACACCTCCCTTCGGGCCGCTCTCTGACTCGGCCCAAGACTTGCTGCATAGCACGCCCTCAGACCCCACTTGTGCAGGATCGCTTCCTTCTCCCCCAGCAGGTGTACAGTCGTTCCTTATTTAGGGTTCCTGAGGTCAACGCCCCGACTGTAGCCGAAGGCGTGTCTCCAGGATCTGGTGCGCACCGAACCCCTGCCCACCGTGCCTGGTTGCCGTGAATCCGTCCATCCGAAGGTGCTGAGGGTAACAATGCTGGGTGCCAGCGCCCTGCCCGCCCGCTGCGACTCGTCGCCCTCGCCCTGGCAAGCTCCCACCTCCTCCTCCTCCTCCTTCTCCTCCTCCTCCTCCTCCTCCTCCTCCTCCTCGTCCCCCCCTCCATCGCTCCTCCTCCGAATTTACTCCTCCTCCTCCTCCTCCTCCTCCTCCTCATCCCCCTCCTTCCCCTCCTTCCTCCTCCCCCTCCTCCCCCTCCTCCTCCCCCCCCCTCCTTCCTCTCCTCCTCACTTCCGCCTCCTCCTCCTCCTCCTCCTCCATCCTCTGGTCGGGGATCGTCTCCTTGCTTTTGGCTGCGGCCGCCTCGGCGTCGCGGGATGTGCTCCTGCAACTGGTTCGCGTATACGACCCCGCACTTTCCGGCAGGTCGTCCAGCGCCTTCTGCTTCGCCTCGGTGGCAGCTTCCTGGCCATTTCGCCCACCTCCTCGTCCTCGAGCTCCCTCTCCCTGTCTAAGTCGAGGATGCCCTCCAGCGCCATCTCCCCTGGCGTCTGGGCGCGCAGCTGCTGCACGAAGCTCTGCTGCTGCGGCCCTCTGCCCTCCGAGCGGGTCGCCTCCAGGTGTTTGCCTCCTGCCTCGGCTACCTCCGCTGGCTTCTCGCTAATCTCTTCCTCGAGCTCCCGCAGCCATGCTCGCTGCTTCTTCACGTCCGATGCCACCGCTGTGGAGCGCTTGTTAGCAATTCTCAACGCTTCGACGGCCTCCGCGAGCCCCTCTAGCTTTGGCTTCACCTCTGGCGGATCCATCTGCGCCTCGATCTGCTTCGCGAAGCCTTTCAGCTGGGAGCCAAGCATCTCGCTGTTGGCCAGCTTCATGCCGCCCATCTTCTCCGCGATGGGCACCAACGCCTGCAAGAGCTCCTTGGTCTCCTCCTTTTGGCCTCCCCTCTTCGGACGAGCTCTCGGACTGCTTGATGCTCCAGGGCTTCTTAAAGGTAGCCTTACAGCATCTGCACTGCAGGCCTACTCTTCAACGTTCGTCGAAGACCCAGCCCTTGCACTTCCACGCCGCGCAGCACGTGAAGTCCTCGTGCTCGGGCTTGTTCTGCTCGCTGCTCCAGGCGCCCCAGGACTTCGGCGCCATGCCGCCCTGGTGCGACCCCAGCAGCTCGCGAGCACTGAGGAGGAGGAAGAGGAGGATGAGGAGGAGGATGAGGAAGAGGAGGAGGATGAGGAGAAGGAGGAGGAGGAGGAGGAGGAGGAGGAGGAGGGGG